ATGTTACCTAGAGAAGGACTTGAACCCTCATCAAATGCATATGAGGCATATGTTTTAACCGAGAAAAAATTTCCCCACAAACCACATCCACCGCTTCACATATGATACGGAACATGCACCTTGCCAGAATTGCGAGGCCGATGGCCAAGCGAATGATGAGTCTTTCCAGTTACAATGACAACTACGTACTGGTCCTTTTACAAGACAAGTTGGTGAAGTTTGAGAATGTTTTCCTTCGTGACGCTTGTACATCCCCAGAAAGCGTTGACCCATTCTCCCGCCAAAAACTGTTCTCCACGGCGGAAATTGTTGACGGACTCACCATTAAGGACACCCCTCAGGTCGTCAAGAATGCCAATGGCGAAGATGTGTTGCACATCACGTGGAACCAGCACGGCAACGACCACAAACTGGAATACCCCGAACTGTTCCTTGTCAAGTACAGCACCAAGGCTAACCGTCGAGCCGACAAATTCTTCGGATCTGAACAAATCCACTGGGACAACAAAGCCCTCAACAAAGGATTGGACGAGTTGAACTCGACTTATACCGACTACATGAATCCTGACTCCAAAGAGTTCAACAGAGTGGTCGACGTATTGAACAAATACGGTTTAGCATTCATCCATGATTGTCCTGAGCCTATCCACGAAGACATGACGGAGGAGAATACCAAAGACTGGCCTGTAGCTCACTTAGCTGAGCGGTTCGGTTACATCAAGAAGACGTTCTACGGCACTCTCTTTGACGTGAAGAACAAAAAAGAGGCCGAAAACATTGCATACACCAAGGTTTTTTTACCCTTACACATGGATTTGTTGTATTACGAACTGCCCCCTGGCCTTCAACTTTTACACGCCCTTAAGAATTCGACATTGGGAGGGGAAAACATCTTCTGCGATTCATACCTTGCAGCTCAGCATATCAGAGATACTGACCCTAATGCCTTCTATGCCTTAACTCAAGTTCCCATCTCTTATCACTACGATAACAATGGCGAATACTATTACTTTGAACGCCCTTTGATTGTTGAGGAGGAAGGTTACCTTGAATCCAAAACTTACAGACCCAAGATCAAGGAAGTCAATTACGCTCCACCTTTCCAAGGGCCATTTGAGACGGGCATCAGCGAAATCTTAGCTCGCGGTAACAACCAGGAAGTTGGCTCGGGGTCAAACCACGCCCTGGCATCCCATTATTTATTGAAAGACTTTTTAAGGGGCTACAAAATGTTTGAGGATTTCGTGAATGATCCGATAAACAACTACCAAATCAAGTTACCTGAGGGCACAACTGTCATCTTTGATAACCGCCGGGTTCTCCACTCTAGAAATGAGTTTTCTGACGAAAACGGCGGCGACAGATGGTTAATGGGTGCTTACTGTGACGGCGATTCGTTCAGACTGAAATTAAGAATTGCTAAGCGCCAGCTCAAGTAAGTAGTGAGATATAAATTAATGCTATAATTCGGTTAAAACCTATGAACCAGCCATAGGCCGAGGCCACTTGGGGCGATGCTTGTAAATCCAAGGGTGCCGTAACACCTGCGCGAGAGAAAGACGCCGGCGGGGGTCTTTCTGACACAATTGGGTAATTAGATCGATGGCGTCACGATCCATCAGAGGTGGAAAACGAAAGTCAACGCGAACAATACGTTTGTAGGTAATATCTCGATTGACATTTTCGAAAGGAGGTTTGCCAGTAAGAAGCTCATAACATAGGACGCCTAACGCCCAAAGATCAACTTGATAGTTATGGTCCTTTTTCTCCACCATTTCCGGAGGAAGGTAATCAAGCGTGCCACATATAGTATGTCGACGATTATCAGCCTTGGCACGAACCAGCCATCCAAAGTCACTAAGCTTGATGATATGATTTTCGTCTCGGAGTAGATTTTCTGGTTTGATATCGCGATGAATTATCCCTTTCCCATGCAAATATTTGAGTGCCTTGGTGACTTGGAAGATGTAATAACTAGCAAGAACATCGGGAAAGCGTTTTGCTGCTCGCAAATGGTGATACAACTCACCATCGACGGCGTATTCGACGATCAAGTAGACATTATCTCGATCATAAAAGTAACCGTAAAGACGCGAGATGTTGATGTGATAGAGCTGTAGCTGGATGGTGATCTCTCGACCCAAGTTCTTCTCGAGCTGCATCTCGACAAGCTCACGCTTCTTCATCACTTTCAACGCGACGATGTATCCCAGCTCTCGATGCCTGGCGCAGTAAACCAGGCCAAGCTTGCCTCTTCCAAGGGCACGACCAATCTCAAAATCATTTATGCTGAGATCTGTCGTGTACCTTGGGGGCTCGGAGTCCTCTTGAACCACCATGGTTGTGTAGTGCTCTGTAGTTTACCGATTCGGTTACACAATCAGACTCTGAGGCAGTTATATACAGGATTATACACGCGTGATTCAGCAGCGACAGCCGTCCGAAGGAAGTTACCTTCACGTTCGTTTGACATCGGCAAAACGTTGAATGTATGATGTTTAGTATCGTGGATTAACGTCTTCGGAATCTTTGATACCTCCGAAACCGAAAAGAAAGCACTTCACGGTGAGAAACTCGATCAGTTGATATCACAGAGATGATATATTTAGATGTGTATGATTATCATTGCTTTCATGGTGTCTTCAAGTCTCCGACGCATCTACCTGTTTAGTACGTACACTTTTTCCATCATGGGTGAGCGGTTTTTTTCTACCCCTATTCTATCACCGGCATATATATGTAGAAGTGGTGCCCGACGAGAGTTCAAGAATGGGAGTGAACACAGTTACTTAACCTTGGCCATACGGCACCCCCTAAAGATCCTAAGCATATCATACGATGATTCCAACCCACTGGGACTGACCATCACTTTCAAGTCATTTATTTGGTGGACTTTCTAATCGGTCTGATCGATGACAAAGCGAACCATGGGGACGCGCTGTGTGATTGAGTGCGCAATTAGCCATGATCGTATTAATTGCTTCATGGGATTCAAGCTTTGAATCTGACCACTCAGTTGGCTCTTGCTTGGGCTCGCGCAGACGTCCCCATGTCCAATAAAACGACACGCTGTGTATATACAGTGAGGCGGAGCTTGAAACGCGGTATTGTGACGTATTGTTTGTCGCGGAGGTTACTGGTTGTTGCCATTTCCACATGAGGAATTATACTTTGTCGTTATCGTGTATTTGATTAACTTGGGGCACAAATGTGGATTGGCGGTGTTTGCTCCATTTACGGGCGGCCAGTCATGACCTTCGATGCCAATTGCGTCGCCATGATGACCAGCATGTTTCGGTCTGTCACGCTGTTGTCACGCGCAGTTTTACTGCGGACGCACGGCTATTTCTCAGCCATCGGGGGGGCGCCTCGGTGTGCACACGATATCCTAATATTTTAATCGTCGACGGGGAAACGACATCTTGTGACCTTTTGCATTAGATAAGGAAGACGCCGAGAGCCACATGGGAGAGAAGCCATGTCCATGAGGGTGACACACACACCACATACTGCCGTTTTAATTGTGGGCTGATCTAGGCGGCGATGTGGGCGAGGTAACCGCGGTCGGTGGGATGAAGACATCGCGCAGGGCTCATACCCAACATACTCGAGGCCGAGCACCCCCAAAATGGGCGGTGTCGTGTCTTTAAGGTCAGACATAACGATGGCCAGCAAATATGTTCCGGTGGGATAAGAATACTCTCCGTTCATCGGATGCCATTGTTGCCTTGAAAAGACATGGAGCCGCAGAGTCTCATAGTGTATTTATTGTTTCATTATTTTTTTTGGTCTGCCTCCGCGTAGACGACAATTTACACACGGCTGCGCGCTAAATTAGGTGGTGACCTTACCCAGTATAAAAAGGACACTGCATCCCCGAGTTTGCGAGTTCGAATTGAATAACAACAATGGGTCTCGACAAATACAAGGAAAAAGCTAAGCGCCTCTCGAGAGCCTTCTCGTCGAAGGAAAACCTCGAGAAGGATGACAAGGTTGACATTGACGCTGTGGCTGCTGACGCCACCGCTAAGAAGTCTGAGGAACTTGCCGCCGCCGATGCCACCGAACAGACCACCGATGCCGTTGCCGACGCTACCGCCGACGTCCCCGAAGCCACTGAAGCTGCGGCCCCCGTTGCCGAAGCTGATGTTGTTGAAGCTTCGAAGAAAGACGACATTCCTGAACCTACCGTCGATGCCGAAGCCAAGGGTGAAGAAGTCACAGACATCAAGAAGGATGTGGCTGAAGAAGCTGCTCCTGCTGCCGCTGCCACCGAAGCGCCCGCCACCGAAGCTAAGGCTGCCACCGAAACCGCGCCCATTGAAAAGGTCGAGAAGGTTATCGCCGAAAAGACTGCCGAGGCTAAGGAAGCTGCTGTGAAGACTGCCAAGGAATCGAAGTCTAATTTGTTCAAGAAGCTTTTGGGCAAGTTCAAGTCGAGCTCGTCGACCACTGCCACTCCTGCCAAGAACTAAGAGTCGGCATTCGGTTTTGACACGAAACGTGTACGGATTTGTTTATGGAAATCGGATTTCAAAGAATACCTTAATAATTAATGTTTGCTATTATTTACTTGTTTTTGTAGGATCACAATTGTGTAAGGTCTACCATATTCAGCTGTTATTAGACGCGGCACTGCGTCAGTGGTTTTTTCCTCTAACGTGCAAGAACGATCGCGGCTTGCAGTGACCCTGGTTTCAGCACTACTAAATGGTGGGTAACAATTGGTGATTCGGCGCCGACACCGTGATACAGCTCGCAATGTACAACGGCAATTATTGTCCCGAGTAAATTGTCGACAGAGATCAGCTTTACTTGTGGTCATGACAGTGCGAGGCATAGCATCGCAATGTCGTCGTCACCGCATCTGTCGCAGAGTGTGGTAACGGTAATGAGCCGCGTGAAACGCGACAGCCATCTGCATCAGTGAGCGAGCGATTGTGGGCGAGACTTTTACCTTTCCCTTAAGCCACACTCAAACTAAATATCTCTTCGGAACTATCACTTGTTGCTTTTTTTAGATGACTTGCAGAGCAGCGGCGATTTTAGTCTTGCTTTTTGCGAGTTCATCGCACCACAGTGTACTTCCGCTACATAAGTCCCGCATTGTCGACTCGCCCGAAAAAACAAATTCTCAGCGGACAGCAAATCGTCGGCCTGACTTACGCCACTCCTTTCTCGTCCCACACCCATCATCAACATGGACTTGAGAGTCGGCAAGAAGTATCGCATTGGTCGGAAGATCGGTCTGGGATCGTTCGGCGACATTTATTTGGGCACCAACATCATTTCCGGCGAGGAAGTTGCGATCAAACTTGAAAATACAAAGGCTAAACACCCTCAGCTCGAATATGAAGCTAAAGTGTATAAGGCTCTTTCTGGAGGGGTCGGTATACCGTTCGTGCGTTGGTACGGCACTGAATGTGACTATAACGCTATGGTGATCGATTTGTTGGGTCCATCTTTGGAAGATTTATTCAACTATTGCAACCGCAAATTCACCTCCAAAACAGTTTTATTACTTGCTGATCAGCTCATTTGCCGTATTGAGTACATCCACTCCCGGTGCTTCATTCATCGAGATATCAAGCCTGACAATTTCTTGATGGGGATTGGCCGTCGGGGTTCTCAAGTGAACGTCATTGATTTTGGTTTAGCCAAAAAGTATCGAGATCCTCGAACCTATTTGCATATTCCCTATCGGGAAAACAAGAACTTAACGGGTACCGCTCGTTACGCACTGATCAATACTCACTTGGGTATTGAGCAACTGCGTCGTGATGACTTAGAGTCGTTAGGTTACGTTCTCATATACTTCTGCCGTGGTTCGTTGCCTTGGCAAGGCCTCAAGGCTGCTACGAAGCGTCAAAAGTATGACCGAATTATGGAAAAGAAGATGCTGACCCATAACCGAATCTTAACCAAGGGCTTGCCCAATGAGTTCTTGGAGTACATGGACTACATTAAGTCTCTTAGATTCGACGATAAGCCTGATTACCCTTACTTGCGCAAATTATTCCGTGATCTTTTCAAGAGAGAAAACTACCGTTACGACTACGTTTTTGACTGGACTTTGTATAAATTCCAACAAGAGAAGAAGAAGGGCGAAGGGGAGGATCAAAACCAACAACAACAACAACCCCAAATTCAAGCACCCCCAGGGCAACAACTGCAACAACCCTCTCAACCCCAATTACAGCAATCTCTGCAAACTCATCAGCAAGCTAATGCCGGTGCACCCGGTCCAGGGCAATATTCCTCGCAGTTGACTCCTCAACAACAGATGGCGCTTCAGAAGTCGCGGATGATGCTGAAGCAAATGGCATCTGGGCTGAGCCCGCTGTTGGCAAACCAGCAGCCTCAAGGTGGCGACGGAAAAAACTCCGCGTGGTTGTAATTGCATAGCGCTTCGGCCGTTCTCTAGTCCTAATGGTATGTCTCGTATGACCGAGTCCAGTGCCACGAGGCACATCCAAGTTGTGCATTTTCCTTTTTAGTATGTACTTTGAATCGTATGAAATTTCACGAGATGCAACAGCGGAACTTGAAGTTCACCGGCACAATTTTATGATAAATGTGTTTGTTAAAGAATGACAGCCAATGTACTTTTATCAGTATGTAATTACTCTTGCGGCTGCTCTTCCTCAGAAGCCGTCTCTTTCTTCGGCTGTTCTTCCTTAGAATCAGTCTCTTTCTTCGGCTGTTCTTCCTTAGAATCAGTCTCTTTCTTTGACTGTTCTTCCTGAATAGGTTCGTCAAACATCTTTCCCAAAAACTCGAAGACGTGGCCGATTTCACCTTCACCCAGTTCTCTCAAATTACTAGGCACCCCTTCAGTAGCATGGGCTTTGAACGAGTCAATAAAGCCAAAGAAACCATAGAATACATTATCGCGAGCTTCTTCGGCGTAGATTTTGTCGTAGATGTACTTCATCTTGAAGGCATCCATCTTTTCGGAGAACTCAGTGAAGTCGATCGCCTTGTGATTGTTCTTCTCCAACATTTTGTTGTAGGTGGTGTAAACAGGATTCTCTAACAACAACCCGAGAGCAGGGGCCTTAGGAATGTTGATCTTGTTAGGGCCATAGAATTGCTTGATACGCTCAACAGGGCACCCAGTTCTCACAACGAGGCAGGCCATGGCGATCATCTTACGAATTTGATGTAACATGAACAGCTGACCATGAAGCTTCACCAGCACCCATTCAGTTCCCTCAATCACAAAGGGTTCCAGCACCAGAGTCTCCATGATGTAACGCCTCAGAGCTGGGTCCTTAAACGACTTGCCAACTGTGAAGTTATGGAAGTTGTTGGAGCCAACGTATTGCTCCATCGCTTCACGGAAACGTTGCAATCTTTCTTTCAGAATGCGATAAGCACGACGACGAGTATTTTCGACGTTTTTTATCAGTCTGATGAACTGCCCTTCTTCGGTGATCTGACCCTCGGAATCGTAAGTCTTGATCGACTCTCCAGCTTTTTGCTTAGCTAACAACTCTTCCAATTGTTGTTCGGTAACACCAGTAGCCAAGACCTCTTGACGAGTTTCGTCCCACCACTTGGAACCTTCTTCATCCACCAAAAGAGTACCAGGGTGTTCCGTTTGCTTTTCCTCAATCAAATCGGCCAAAGCTGAGTGGGGCTTGGGCGGCAACAACGAGTAAGTAGGCAATAAGTACTCGTAAATTCTCAGCGAGCACATCTTACGGCAGTCAAACAGCTTGGTAACCCGTTGAATGCCCCAAATGCGGATCTGATCAGGAAGTGCTTGGTTGATCTTTTCAATGATATCCTCATCTTCCACAATGAGTTTAGCCAGAATGACGTTGCCCGCAGCGTGGACGCCCTTGTCAGTCCGAGCAGCCCGCATGAAAGCGTTCTTCTTAATGTCGTCGGCGTTGTCCTTGGAAACAGCCCCAGCTTCAACAAAGGCGTTAAACAACTCACCTTCGATGGTCTTGACATTGGGATCGTTCTGAATTTGCATACCATTGTAGCCAGTACCACAGTAACCAATCATCACTGCCACCTTTCTCTTGGGACGTCTTTCCAGCTTAGCCACGGGATTGCCATTTTCATCGACTCTGGGAGTGAATTCACTGGTGATGTTAGTAATCGGTGTCATAATCAGGCCATAGCGATGGGATAATACCTACGTACGTAACCCGATGAGTTCTTTCCTCCCTCTTAGACCGCTTGCCTTCGCTCGTCTTGCCATCCGAAGTACGCTTGGGGGTCTCATTGCCCGAGTCGTTAGGTGAAGTCATCGCGATGAGGTTGGTGCACAAAAAATCTTTGGCTATCGCAATGAGACCGTTGACTGAAGAAGAAACCAAGGTAGTATTCGAGAAGTTGGCGAACTACATTGGGCGGAATATTACCTTCCTCATTGACAACCCGGTGCCCCACGTTTTCCGGTTGCAAAAAGATCGGGTTTACTATGTTAGTGAAGAAGTAGCTCGATTCGCTACCTCGGTCGCTCGTCAAAACTTGATGCTGTTGGGGACTTGCTTTGGTAAGTTCACCAAGACGGGGAAGTTCAGATTGCACATCACAGCATTGCCATACTTGGCTCAATACGCCAAGTTTAAAATGTGGATCAAGCAAAATGGTGAGATGCCCTTCCTTTACGGCAACCACGTTCTCAAGGCTCACATCGGGAAGATGAGTGAAGATATCCCCGAACACGCTGGGGTCATCGTTTACTCGATGAATGATATCCCTCTTGGGTTTGGCGTCAGTGCTAAACTGACAACTGAGGCTCGCAATTTGCAACCCAACGCGATCGTTGCGTTCCGACAGGGCGATATTGGGGAGTACTTGAGAGAGGAAGACACTTTATTCACTTAATTGGGTTTATATATTAATGATTATGGGCGTTATCTGGGAACTTTTTCTGAACATACCACCCTCGCGATGTCATTCACCAACCACAATTGAAAGGACGACGTTTATCGAAAGGTGGCGTTCAAATTAAGTTGGCATGTACGAATTATCAAAGCGGTGACACTCATTTTAGTTCTCTTCATGACAATAAACCAATTGCATGCGTTCTTTGCATTAGCTGAAACCATGTCATTCTTGTTTAGCTAATATATCTTTGAAATCGAGTACTTGATGAAAAATCCCCAAGAACTAAAGTAACTCTTTCTACCTCGTTGGTTTTAAAGTCTCTCTCACTTGATTCTACTTCTGTTCTCGGTCTGTTCGGTTTATCTGCCAGCTTGTAGTATACCGGCCCAGCTCATTTCTAAATTGCAAAGATAAATCCAGTATGCTACAACTGTCAACGAAGCATTATTATACGTCACTGGCTTGAATTTTTAGAGATGATATGTGATCATCAAATCCTAGTGTCTGAGACACATTTAGCCCTCAATATGCCTTAGCAATACTTCAATTGCCTTTGGGAACATTGCTCCGATCATTAGACCCTTGAAAGAGCTTAGATTCTAAGTTGATATGAAGTTGTCGCAACGGAACTGATGTTTGATTGTAGGAATCATTTTAGTATTTCGAAATGTTTCAGTCGGAAGCCATTGCTGGATGAAGAACGCCAGACGAATGGGTTAACATAACAATGTCCCAGTATTCCAACGAGGTTTGGGGAGAATGTCTCTGTCAATGCTTACCGCCGCCCCAGATCTCAATGGGGGAATGCCATTTAGACTTTGCGCTTGAGACAGCAAGACTAAGCTTTGGTCTGGCCCCGGATTTGTACATGAAGGTGCATCACGCAAGGGGACGGTGTGCAAGTTTTTCGAGTGGACATGTATTAAACTATTTGAGACAGCAACGGCCCTGGAAAAGTGGAGTCGCCAGCGACATGGCCATCTTTATCGGTGCCGATAGCAACATAGTCTTTTGCAATTAGTGCAAGTAAACACAGGGTCGCCGCAGCGGCATCGACCATCATTGCATTGATAATGGTGACGAGAATGGCATCCACACGCGGGACATTTGAACGCAAGCAGAGTCGATGTCCTCATGATATACTTCCGAATCGACGATTGAGAGATTCTCCTCGATATATATACTTATCCATTGAAATGAGTCTGCCGACAGCGTAAACGAATGAGTTTTTCACCGTCAAGCAGCCCGGACTAAGCAGCGTCAACGTCTAATTCTTTTCCCGCAAGGGGTTCGCTGCCAAATTCAAAGAACAAAAGTCTCGTTGGGTTTAACTACAGCCTCATTTGGGTCGATGTGATCGCGCAGTATCGTAAGTATCTGTAGGCCAACAACGTCAAGTTAAGAGTCCTTAAAGTAAGATGAAGACCTTCAGTTTTCTATAATCAACACTATCATTGCTCAGGGACCATGGTATTTCTTGGGCGACGTGCGGTAAACGACATTCATAATTGAGGATATTGTTCCCGCTTTGCTATCAAATAGGCGCCTCAATTTACTGATACATCTCCAGGATGATATACCAAGCATAGCAGGCACAAACTTATAAGGTTTGCGGGAGACAGCATGAATTTACACTTACACCAACAACAAAACAGCGTTGAGACAAATAGGGAACGTATGCTTGAGCCCACCATCAAACGATACTTTTGACACTGAGCCTTTCATCTGACCACCATTTTTGTCGACTACGAAAGACGGTGACTGAAGCGCAGTCACGATGCACGAGCTGCGTAAATCACGCTATTTATTTTACTACAAACCGTCAAATTGGGAAGACAGCCGCCCCAGACGGCTGACTAGTCGAAGAACTTTCTAGTAGGCGAGGGTCCAAACAATTCGAGTCTGATCGCGGGTAAGGCTCCCTCGTTCAACAAGCTGAGCCGTTCTCTCAATGTGTTCGTCACCTCGATCGCACCATTACCGTTCACCACGATGCAGCCACCAATCTCTTTGTCCTCCAAACCTTCGGTGACGGTGATTTCAATGTCGTTATTCGTCTTCTCCTTGTAAACCTTAGCCGCCTCATCCTTGGCCTTATTGGCGACGTCCACGTCAGCTTTGGTCACTTTAACGGTAGCCTTAGGTTCTAATAAAGTGAGCGCACCTTCAGCAATTAACCCCGCCATCACCTTGGTATATTTGTCGGTATCTTTAGTGAACTTCTTAAGAGATTCGGCAGCCTCATCGAACAATTGCTCCAACACCTGCTCCTTGGCGTCTAAAACCTTCAACCGCGATTTGTTAGCGGCTGTAGACTTCTGAATTTGCTGGGCCAATGACGCTTTCTTGAGCTTTTGTTGGTAGATCTGGTCAATAGCTGCCAGCTCGCTTCGAACGATCAGCGCCTTTTCAATTTCGTATTCTTCATCAGCTTTGAGGCGGATTTCCTTGGCCTTCTCCTCCGCCTCCTTCTTGATGAACCCTTGCATCTTTGCAAGTTCAGACTTGACCTGAGAATCGTTAGTATAACGCTATCTTCGATAAATTGGGCCATTGGTAACGTACCTGTTCGTCGGATAAACTCATGGTGGATGGGTATGGTCTGGGTTGCGGATACCACGAAAATGAGTGCGTGGACGAACCTGGATGGTAGCGCGCACAACGATGGCAGTGGTAGTCGCCACTCGCATGTAGTATACACGGGTCTCAGGTGGAGTATGGCGGTACCTTCATAAATTACCCCGCCTCCTCCGAAATGGAAAATCAGCCCATGAGTAAATATCGGCTATTTTGCAAGTTGTCCCCAGACTTCGGCGTGCACGCACAACTCAAACCGCTCCGGATATATAGCCCATGCGTTTCCGGGGCTGTTTCAAGTTAGACTACTAACTCCAGTAATAGACATTCACGTTTCTTTATCCCGTATGTCCGACTAAATTATTAATACCCTCACATGCTACGAGACAACGCTCACAAAGGAAAGGGAGCGGATTGTCGGGCCGAACAATAGCCCGCCAGTACTCTGTACCTTGAAGGATTCAGCTAGTAGACGACCGCTGTTTCATAAGCGTACAAAATCTGGATTGCCAGGGGCCATCGGACTTCCAGCGGGGTTACGAAAACGTTTCTCCCAACGTGCTATTCTAAGCCTGGCGATCGGGTCCATCTCTACACCAGGGCTCAAACCCGGTTATCAGTCCCCGTTCGGATGACAGCGGAAGTGGATATAGCGGGAACTAATGAAAGTTGAAAATTCTTTTCTTCCCAGAGTTCTCTTTTCAACCACCATAAACAGGTTCCCTTGTTTCAATCCATACTATACCGAGACCAATACTATACCGAGACCAATACTCCACCTTCTGTGTGGTAACTATCGCCGAACGGGTATGCATAACGTCACGCCGCATGGTAGATAAACACTGTCATACCCGAGTACGCTCGGGTAATTCAAGACTGCCACCCGACGAGGTAGCGTGAGATATAAATTGGAAATTTTTCCCCTACTGAATACCACATCCATCATGTGTTCTCATTGTTCTTGTTCTACGGTTTGGCACGAACGAGTGCCTGGAGTGTGTGGGTGTGGGAGCAAGCAGCTCTACTACTGTGGCCACTGCCAAACGACCCATTGCGTTCGTGAGTACGTTCGGACGACATTTGGAACCTCGCTGCTGGTGGCATCGTCGACATCGACCTCCATTGTTTCAAGATGAGATGCCCGAGGATTGGTGCGGAGCCCTGCGCTCCACTCGGTGAGGGAATGGGTTACTGGTCGACTTTATTCACATAGCATGGTGCCTGGTGCACTCAATAATAAACACATAAGTTTCCATTTTTTAGAGGTGTAGTGTTGGCGGTTAAATATCTCCTAGTTAACCTGGGTAGGGTCCGAGTTGGACCGACGTTCCATAGGCCTCGCTTGACTGCAACAAGGGTTTTTCTCGTTATAATCGTGCGCGGCTGATCCCCCAACCACTCCCACCACCGACGATGAGTAAGCCTGTGCAGCGGAGGAGGAAGCACAAGAACTCGAAGATGGGGTGTGCCAACTGCAAAAAGCGAAAAGTGAAATGTCTGGAAGACCTACCTGAATGTCGCAACTGCGTCAAACACAAAGTGCGGTGTGGATATCTCGACTACACCGACGCCCAGAAGGCCGAGCTCAGGAACAGCAAGCTTACCCAGGAGTTTGAACTGTTGACCACCGTCCCCCTGAATGAATCAATCGCCTCGATGGATTCGGTGTGGTCACCTGATTCCCATAAACCCACCCCCGCATTCCCATTGTTACGCAAACGGCTTAGCCACGCTAACGAACATTTGAGATACCAGGTACACCACCACAATATCAAGCAGAATTTCGATAACTTGATGCCCCTGGCCACTAGTGTGGATATGACGTACCCGGTGTACACTATAGACGAACACGCGAACCAAGAGACTACTCAAAGCCCACCGATAGAAGCACAGCCCCGATCATTCAAACTCCTTAATGGGGTACAACAAGTGGCCACGTTCAAAGTGCAGAATAATCCGTACAGTCGCAAGTTTTATGTTAACAAATTTGATGAGGACGTCGCGGCCTACTCTCGATCCATTGCCACAGGCACAAACTCCATATTCGATGTGCGTTACCTATATTTCCTGTGGCTTCTGCTGTTCACAAATCGTGCATACTCGAGCCAGCTTTACTTTTCATGTCTCTTGAACTTGACCATTAATTACTTGATTTGTAACCTGTTTACGAGCAGCATCAAATACCGCGAAGCTATTGCCAATTCTGCACTCGAAAATAATCAGCATTACTTGGACCAGACAAAGACGAAGGACGTTATTATCATGAGACTGATTGAACACTACGCAAACATCATCAAACGACTACGTTTGCTATTGAACGAGCGCCAACATCCAGATTCGGCAGCCCAAGTTTCATTCGTGTTATCAGTGATGTCGGTGTATGATCCCGAGGCAACATTGCATTCCTTGAATTGTTTCAGAGATGGTTTGTTTTCAATCTTGACTTACCATTTTAACCGAAGTGCCGCCACCAAAGAAGAACTTTTCTTTATCCCGCTCCACCTTCAGTTAATGAAAAACTCAATGAAACTGGTCTACTTCCCTGCTACACTGATACTGACGCTCCACGAATTCCTACACTTTCTCAGGCACTTTGTATCGCTAGTCGAGCCTTACTTGACTCGTCCCCAGGAAACCACTGACGACGCTAGTCAGGAGGAAAACAAAGATTGCGGATATGCCTTTATTCATCTCAAACTTTTGGACTTGCTCGAATTTGTTACGGATGTCGTTGAGATTCACTATGATGAGATTAACGACAACTTAGACGACATGCAGACCCAACAAGAGACACTATTCCGAATGATGTATAAATGGGTGAGATTTTTCCCCTCCCAATTGCTTCGGTTGCACAGAGGTCGTCTGCCCCTTTTCACGCTCACATATTTATTTTATCAGACGGCGAAGATCAAACTCTTTGCATTGTTTCCGCAAGTCAAGTTCTTCTTCTTAAGAGACTTTGCACTGCCAATCATGCTCGATGTCTTTATCATCCCTCCCAAAGAATTCCATGAGGTCTGGAATCATCATCTCGAGTTAACTAGATTTGATCTGATACTGAGTCAAGAGTACTCCACAAACATTGCACCCCAAATTAAGTTTACTGCCGCATACCTCATTCGATGCATCCAATATTACCAAGATCGCCTCAAATTATTGTACAAATTGGTTTTAGAGCTGGCTCTGACCTTCCCCATTGAAAATGTTAGGAAGTGGCGGGATGCCATCACCGATGTTGCCGCGCAGCGCCAATTCTTCAGTGACAACACTGGTCTACGTGAACGCAGCATTCGGTTCTTCAGCGAAGCACACATTCGTCAAGAGAACTATCCTTTGGTGTATGGCGAGCAAGAGATTTACATGTTTGAAGACGACGATCAGGCACCTGATCTTCCTGAAGACTTCTTCTTCAACGTTAATGTTGATTATTCTACACTTCAAGCAAACGGGTTATTACGTGAGGACTGGTCTCCTTTTTAGAACATATAACTCTATAAATACGCATTACATTATCACTCTAGTGACACATGAGTTTCAAACCCAATATATGGCAAATAGTTAAAATGGAACATGAAAAATTTCACCTGCCATCTCTAATTACCCTCTATCTCTTCAACCTTGATGATGATTGGAGAGTCTCCACCGCTAGAATGGTCATCATCTTCTGGGGGAACCGAGCTTGTAACCGAGCCTGCGGTCATTTGTTTGAGCTCATTATCGATCATTGCGTCAAGCTCGGCATCCTCCTCATCACTCTCACAAGCGGATTCCTGATCAACGGAAGACTCAATCTTGAAACGTTTAGTTGAAGATCCAGATTCAGAACCGGAGAAGTTGACAGCACCATTCCTTCGTTTGCCTCGCGGTGCCGCAACGACATCATCATCATCGTCTTCACTGCCATCGTCGTGATCACCATTAGTGCTGACACCGGCGTTGCTAGAATCATCGAAGTCGTCATCATCGGACGAGTCTCCACCAATATCAGCATCCAAGTTACCGTTTTCCTCTAGTTCTTTTTCTTTTGCAGCCCGTTCTTCAGCCTCCAATCCTTCCAAAAACGCGTTAATCTTAATTAATTGCTCCTCATGCCATAAGACATGACGTCTAAGATCGTATTCACGAGCAAACGTACGATCACATTTAGGACGAGGACAGAAGTACCGATGGCTGATATAATTATCAGTCATAAATCTCTTCAAGTCAGTCTTTCCCACGGTATTATTAAACTTCAGAAGCGATCGATCCGATCTCACCGAGCCAGTAGGCGGAGTAGATGCCTCGCTATCGTAAGTGCGTTCAGGAAGACCCGATATGGTAGACTCACTCAAGAGCGCCTGAAGTCTCACCTTCTCCTTGGGTTTGAGAAGCTCTTCAGGGATATTACCATCATGAACGTCATCGTAGTGATCGATGAGATGAGCTTTCTTTGGATACTCGGCGACGCAATAATTACATTTCCAAAGTTTAATCGAGTCGTCACCATGACAAAGCATATGGTTGTCGAGCCCACGTTGACCGACACACCCACGGCCACAAATGGGACAAATCAATTTAGGATGATCATCTTTGACATGGAGTTGGAGGGCCGACCATGTCTGTAGTGTTTTGAAACAACCGGGGTGGTCGCACTGGTAGGTAGGGTGTTCGCCATGGTATTTTTGTTGGTGAGCCGTGAGACGGTTTGGCCGGGAAAACTGCTTGCCACAGTCCTTACACTGTAGCGGTTTTTCGTGTTCCCGACGGATATGGTGGCGCATCAGTTGATGCTTGTAGAACGTCTCTTCGCAATGAGGGCATTGAAACGACTTGGTGTGGGTGACCTCGTGACGCTTTAAATGCTGAGCTGAGTTTACCCCTTTGCCACACACCTTACATTTGAACGGTTTTTCTTCCTCGGATGAGTGGGAGACGAGATGGGCCGTCAAGTGGGATTTGCGAAGAAACAGCTTATCACACTGAGTGCATTGGAACGGGCGCTCGCCGGTGTGGGAACGCTGATGCTGTTCGAGGAGACACGGTCGGTTGTAGGTCTTGGTACACTTGTCACAGTGATACACCGGACGGGACGGTTGTTTTTTCACCAGCGGGCTCGAGGAAACCATCGAGTGATCATACAGAGGTTTGATTAGTGATGCGGCGCGCCAACACTACGATATTTCGATGAGGGGGAGAGACGTGGATACCCCACACGCAATACAACACGCTAGACATGCATTAGACAATAAATACTACTCGACGTCAGTGTCGGCGCCCTCGGTTTCGACGTCGAAGCCTGAGGCGGGCGAGTCAGCGTCGTCGTCGTCGTCGTCGACCAACTCCTGCAACACCTGGATGCGAAGGGAAAGAAGGTAGCTGAACGCCCGGTAGTCGACGGCGTCGTCGTCGGCGACCTGGCGGACGATGTTTTCGGGGACGTCGTGCCACCCGATCTGCTGGAGGATGAGGACGGTGTCGGCGACGGAGACCGTGCCGAACTGGTTGAACCTCAGGACAAACTCGGCGAACGCCGTTTCCATCGGATCCACTGCCCGCTTCAAAGGAGGTGTGGAAGGGGATGAAGGCTCGCTGGGGGCGTCAGGGCCATGGCGGGGTTGTGCGGTCACCGTAATTGCACAACTGGGGGCGGAAACGTCGTCGTCGCAAGCGCTGGCAGTGGCGCCGTTTTTAAACTGGCTGCCAATGCCAGGGTTCGTATTTTGTTGGGTCAGAAAACTTAACGGCTGGCCGGGTGCGGAGGGGCAGGCAGGCCGGGTCGAGAACGCGGTCGGGGGTGTGGGGACAAAGCGATCGCGTCGAGGGGGTTAGCGAGCGTGGCTGGCGACAGATATTTACGGTGGTGGTTGATCCCTGACGGTGGCTTGCCGATTGCGAGCCCGCCGACACGCTAATCACACTTGTCTGTGATAATCGGACCTTGGCCGCCGGGGGCGGAGATCCATCACCAGGTGGTGCTCGATCGTAACCGACAAGGAGCATTGCGGTGGCGTCAGCACCCCTCGCGGCAGCAGCCTACCGTAAACGAGCAAAAAAGCACCGCTGCAGACGTCCACAAAGATGTTGGGCCCCGGCGCCAGCCGCCCCCATCGCTTCACTAATCTAAGCGTATGGTTGTCAGCCGCCGGGTGGGTACTTAGGCCTGTGCGCCATTTTGCATCCGATAACCAATTTAGGAAGGCATAGTGAGGGCGTCATCCATCTCGACGTACTTTGGTCGCTCGCGAATCCCCTGTCGATCTAAAAAACCAGGCGTGTGGCCATCACCTAGACGTCGAAGTCCGCCACCGCCCTTGCGATTAGCCTTATCTCTTCGCTGGCTGAGTGGGCTCAGGGGGGGCTTGGCACAGTAGGCTGGTTGTCGCACCGTTGCTCGCTCGCACGGGCTCCGCCTCCGGTGGGAGAGGGGGTGAGACAAATGACTAATAGTGGCTGTCAACGAATGACGGTGGCGACTTCTAGTGGCCTGATCACTGTAATTACCTGTAAGCCGAGTCAATTGCCGGCAGTGAATGTCTCGGCAGAGCTGCCGCGGGGCTAAAATAGCGCCTTCCGGCGTAAATGGCGCCGACACCCGCTGGCGTCATTGCTGTGGCCTATCTGCACTCTACCGTCTTCGGCGAGCGCTGAACCTCACCATCACTGAGACTCGAAAGTTATACGCCACTCACCATGGGGATCAACAATCCAGTGCCGCGGAGTCTCAGAAGCGAGTCGAAGTAAGTCAATTGCCCTAGCGTGCGCTGCGTGAAGCTGACGACTAACCATTCTCTAGAAAAGCCGCCCAGGTGCTTTCGAGCTTTATCAAACCCAACACCGTCGCCGGGCCCGACCAGGTGATCCCTCCCCGTATCCTTAAGAACGCCCAGGGACTTGCCATCATCACCGTGTTGAAGGCAGGGTTCCTTTTCTCCGGGAGAGCCGGGTCTGGTGTCATCGTCGCCCGTCTCCCCGATGGGACGTGGTCAGGCCCGCTGGCGATCGTCACCGCCGGCGCTGGGGCAGGGGGGCAGATCGGGGCCGAGCTCACCGACTTTGTGTTTATCCTTAACACCAGAGAGGCGGTGGAAACGTTTGCCCAGGCGGGGTCGGTGACCCTTGGGACCAATGTGTCGGTAGCGGCGGGGCCGTTGGGGCG